AAGCCCGAGTACTCTGCGGTGATTCGGCGTCTGGGGTCTGCACTAAAATATTCCGAGCGCACGCCAGGCAGATATTGTGGGAGCACGGCAATATGATGGGCTCCCGGAAAAACGATCCGCAAACAACGATCCTCTTCCATAGGTGGCTGTTTGTTTTGTTTTTGTTTTTTTTTTTGGGGGGGGGGATGAACGAAGCCTCGTACAAGTTAAGCAGTGCGCTGTGTTCTGCACAGGAATAAACCCAAATCGGGGAGCATTCAACTTAATGACTGGCTCTTGCCACAGCAGCTACTGCCTCCGCTGTAGCAAGCCTGAGGGATGAGACCGGACCAATTTAATTCAATTCAATTCAAGGTGCTTTATTTGCATGACCGATGGGTACAATCAGTGTTGCCAAAGCAAATAAAAATAATGAAATTCACATGAAACAAAACAAAAAATAAAAGTAAAATAAAATCTACAGACATATTACAGACATTTACAACAAATACATTTCTCAGGCTGTTAAGCCCAGCTGCCTTTCACAGGACAACCTCTACACAAAACTGATTGGACGCTGTAAACTGTGCGGAGACACAATTGGATACTTCAGTTGTCAGTCTACATGATGTACTGGTTAGGTTGACTCAGAAGCGTTTGTTCTGCTTTCGTTTCTGAGATATAGTGCCTTGTTTTTTTCGTGGTCGTGACATCGATCGGCTCCCCATATTTCCTATGGCACGTTTTCCTTTTCTTTCCTTACCATGACACGCTGTTGCCATGTATATCGCGGCAGCGTATATCACGACTGGCGCCTTGCTTCCATGCCACCCTGGTACCGCTGTCGCAACAAAGGTCTCATATCAGGACATGATATACCCAGATAGGACATGCCGCGATATATGGACTTTGTGTCGTAACATGGGGTCAGCATATCCTGTCCAGGCTATGTCCTATCGCAACATATGGATTCCGTGTCACGACATGGGGGAAGGGCATTTTGTCGGGTATGTCATATCGGGATATACGGGCTTCATGTCATGACAGTTTTTGTCATATCGCGATAGAGCCTTTCATGTCGCGACATGAGGGCGGGGCACTATTGCCGGGGTATGTCATATCGCGATATGTGGGCTTCATGTCGCGACATGGGGGCGGGGCACTTTTGCCGGGGTATCTCGTATCGTGATATAAGGACATAATGTCCCAACAGTGACGTCTTGACGGTGATCCGCCAGTCGCAGTGGGTATCGCGATGTGACTGTGGTGCGCGCACTCCTATCGTGACATGCTATCGGAGTCGTGAACGCGCTATGGATGCCATGACATTCTTTGTCTGCTATTCAGTTTTGACCTCAGTGCGACTTCTCTTAGATTGATCAGTAATTGGAAACAAATGGATGTGTTACTGTATATCCAGCGTGCTCATACAGCACACACAGAACACACAGAACTTCCGCTGTGGCGCTTTACCCAATCAGAGTGTCGATTCTCACCCTTCACCCAATCGCAGCCCGAGCTGTTCGGGGGTTTAGCCAATCACGGGTCTGAGAGCTGTTCAAGCTAGCAGCGCCGGGTGGATCGGCTTGTTTACTGTCAATGAGAATCTATTTTTAAAATGCTTTACTTATCGGCTTTTTTAACGTCTTTATTGATTCACAATGTCCTGTACTCTTCGAAATACATTTTTATTTGCAATATAACTGTCTCCGCTGCTTTCTGTAATGAATACATGGTGTTTGAACAATTTTAATCGTATATTTAAGGTAGGGGAAACACCTTCCGCTTTGTACTTCAAAAATGAATATAAATGTAAGATCATGATATTCTTATGTTCGTGCTTTCAATTTTGTTTTTTTATTGTTAAATTATATCGATCTTGAAACTCATACCTAAAAATGTAAATATGGGCTCTCGTGTTGTACCAGCGGTAATTTGGAAACTGGTGTCTCTTCACCAATGAAAGGAGTACACAAGCAATACATTTTCGAGAACATGGTTAAAAATGAAAAGAAAACACCGAACCCGGTGAACTAACATAGTAACTCCTCCCTAAATGTAAGACTGTTTATTCGTGTAAATTCGCTGCAAAGTCTGAGGTCAAATGATGAAAAGATCACAACTGAAAGATCTGGTGTTCGTGACTTTGCTGCTTTGTACGTCACAGAGGGAATAGCAGAGTCACAGTTTGTCAGGTGAACGTCTCATCCGAAGGACGGCACCTGTTTACCGTCACTGTACTGGGGCATAAGGACCCACATGGACCGCAGAGTGAGCGCCCCCTGCTGGCCCTACTAACACCTCCAGTAACAACCTTAGTTTTTCCCGAGAGGTCTCCCATCCAGGTACTGACCAGGCTCACACCTGCTTAGCTTTAGTGTGTTGCCATTTGTGAGTTGCAGAGTGATATGGCAGCCGGCTGAATTGAATTGATATTGATTGATAATTGATATAAGGTATTGATTTGAATATTTGAATAAACCTTTGACTCCCTTGTATACGAATTTGTTTTTAATTAATTTAATTTTAATTTGTTTTTAAAGGTTTGTTTTCTAAAGACACCATTCAAGTAGAACTTTTAATAGAAGCTAGTGGGTTCTAGAACTATTTGTACAATGTGACAACACAGCATCACACATTTTGACCGTGTTATGCTTTAATGCCTGGAAGCCTGAGCATTAATTGACAAAATGTTTTATTGTGCTTAACTACCAAGACAAGTCCCCTTGGAGAAGATCAGATCCCTGATGATTGCATTAAAGACTCTTTTTACAGATTTTTTTTACAGTTACAGTAGCACGATGCTCAGACTACAGGGTGTGTGTGTATTCCATCTTAAACAGTGTGATTTCCTTTGAGAGGGGGACAGGCCGTCTCTGATTGCTGTATTTCCCCATTTCCCTGTCTTTCCAGTTCTCTTAATTGGTCATCCCCCCACCAGGGATAACTTTACTGGTAGAGCCTGGAACCCACTGTTCATTAAATGTTTTAAGGTGGAAAAAAATGTTCTCTTCCTGCTGATAGCTTACAAATCATTATTAAAGATATGGCAGCTCACATTTACTGTGTGTGTACCCAGAGGGCATGATTATGTAATCCTGTGCACATTAGCACAACTGCAGATGGCAATGAAAAGGCATCAAAATATGTTCCTATTCAACACAGACACTCAGTATTACAGGACAGCACTGTGACAGGGATGTGAAGCTTGTCAGGAAAGCTCACTGCAACAGGTGGCTCCGCAGAGATGTGTAAATCTGGATGTTGACAATTCCACTTCTATAGAAACCTACACCCAGGCAGAAAGGGTCAAGCTTTACTACGTTTTTCTCAGATTTACTGGGAGTAATTTTCAATAAATCATTACAGTGCAAGCATTTTTACCCTCTAATAGAAATAAGGGAAAAATAATGAGCTAACTAAATCTATTTATCTACTCATGTCTGGAGAAGAACAATGTTAATTCTTGTGACAACCTTGTTAGTTGCGAGTGCATCATCAAAGAAAAATAGTTACTTGCTACAACAGGGCCAAAGAAACAGCACAGTAGCTTGTTGCAGGGAGAGTGGGTCTGTATTTTAATGTTCATATGCAGCAGTGACCAGCAGTGCCACTGGAATACTGCCAGGCCAGTGCAGGGGTGAAGACAGTGCTCCCATGATACAGCACTGACAACCAGACTAGCATCCAGACTGACTTCAGCTGGAACTTTTCAGCTTGGACCTGTGGATATGCTGTGCAAATATGGATATTTCTGCATTTTAACTTTATTTCTATCATTAGGGGAATAAATACCATAAAGGCAATGGGATTTCAGTGATTTTAACCTTCAGTTCATTTTAAAACCTGTTTAAGTGGGATTTGCCACTACAAAGAGTTAATATTTGTTAAGCCATTAAACATATTTAGCAAAATATACAAGCAGTATTATAAGTATTGACAATATACTGAGAAGCAAAGTAGTCAGATACTGTATATCTTATCTTGAATTTTTGGTAATTCTAGAACAAGGCAGTTCCTTATAGTTTTGCAGTTCAGTGTGTGTGGAGGACAGGCACGGGAAACAGCTTTTTATCAGATGGACAGTCTGATTACTCATGAAATCACCACAGACAACTATGCGCAGTGCTGGAGTTTGGCCAGTGTTGCCTGGCAGGCAGTGAGGGTGTTTGAGTCTGATGAGCCCCTCTAGCCTCTATAATATAAGAACAAGTTGAATGTCTGACAAACACCTACAATCTGTCTAAAAGCAACTGCAGGGAATGCAGGTTTTTATCTGTCCCTTTCCCTTGGTCCAGATGTGCAGGCTTTCTTTGTAGAGAAACAGCTCTATCAAAACCATATGGCACATTATCATCTACTGGTCCATTATGAGAATCAGTAGTGTGAAATTTTATCTGTATATTTAAAATATAACAAATAATAGATCCATTTTAAATCTATGTATGCTTTATATGCTCTATATATGCCTTAAATATTTTGTAATAAGTTTGTAAGTATAAAGAGTAGAGGCCTGGTTCAGGACTTAAACTGAAATTAATGCACTTCAGAAACATTGCAGGTAATCTCCAGAAGCTGGGCCAGTGCACAGTGTGGGAAGTTAACTGCATGTAGTTCTCAGCTGTTGGAGCTGCGTCTCTTCATAGTTGAGAGCCAGGTTGGCAATTTTGTGTCTGGAAATAACATTTCTTTTTTTTTACCGTTACCTAGCAACAGTGGTTCAGCATTACCATTTTCTTGTAATGTGGCAGTTTAACAATTAGAAATCCGATGTATTGGGTCAGAAGGAGAGCATGATTTTATTTTGTGTAAACCAACAGTTTCTATTTTTAATAAGCTGGATGGGCTGAATGGCCTCCTCTCATTTGTAACTGCTCTTATGTTAACCTAGAACTGTTTTTTTAATGACTCAGGTTATCTGAATTTGTCTCTCAAAAGCAGATGTTAAGCAACTCACAAAGCTGAACTGCTCTTTCGGAAGAGTTGATGTCTGATCTCACTGTTTCTCTGTCCCCTCACAGGTGGTGCGTGATCAGATCGCTCATTGTACGGTCAAATTGCGCCAGACCACTGGACTGATGGAGTATTGCTTGGAGGTCATCAAGGAGAATGACCCTAGTGGCTTCCTACAGGTCATCACCGAACACACCTCTCTTTGCACAAACACACAAAGCGCTCGGTCAGTCATGCCTGCGTCCAGGAACTCTAGAGTTGCTATCCTCTATTCATTTACATCATCCATGTTTGTGAACATCTTTATTTTGATTCTCAGTTTTGTATTTTAATATAGTTCCCTTGCTTTCTGGTATCAAATGTATCAAAATACATTGGTTTAATTGTGCAGATATACAGTGCCTTGCGAAAGTATTCGGCCCCCTTGAACTTTTCAACCTTTTGCCACATTTCAGGCTTCAAACATAAAGATATAAATTTTTTATTT